TTTTAAAACTTCTACTTAAAAGTACAGATATTTATTTCCAATGAGTCTTCTAACCACACTGGACTTTCGATGTTATGAATAATTGGCGGGATCTTTATGTCGAGGATATACAAAAAATATCGAAAATTTTTCCAATGGGGATTTTGTAACAAGTAACATACAAAAATTTCCCATAATATGATGCGCTTTGCAGAATATTGTATTAGAAATTCGTACTATAAGGGTACACAAGTACTAAAACGTACTACAAATTTTACCATTAGCATTTAATTACCGAAAGAAGCAAAAAAGTTAAAAAACGTACTATTTGCATTAGTCCATCGGGAGGATCGAGAAAATCATACACTTTCAGAAAAATAAATATAAGAAAGTTGTACTCGATTTATTAGATTAAGTAGATTTACGCATCAACGTTTCGGTTCGAAAGAAAAGCATGTAGGTTGTCCATGATCCAATAATGTTCAAATTTATAGACACTCAGATTGGAAAAAGGGGGAAAGAACTTCAACGTACCGAAAATTAAACGCGAAATATGTATGGGATACTCTATGAGAAAATTCTGTCAAAGTCTTCACAATTCCAGAATGGAGTGGGACCTGTATGTAGGAGCTTGGACCTAAATAGAAATGTTTCCACATAAATGTGTGTTACCCCTCAATATGCAGTTATGGTATATTATAGCTACTACAATGAGAATGGATATATATTAATTTTTGGAAGAAAGATTTGACACCACATGAGAAAATACCAAACAATGGGGGATACTATTATATGGGGCTACACGGAAAATTTTACCAATATTGCTAATTTTTGGTCAAGAGGTTTTGATCATCCAAAATAAAACATTACAGCCACACTGGAGCAAACTTCCCAAAATGCCGAATATATGGGAGCTACCTCAAAGAGTGGAAAAATGTAGATAATTTTAGTGCGATTCATTCTACCAAATAAGAATCAAATGCCAAATTACAGCCAATTAGATTTAAAAACGTGTGGGGGATTTGGACACAGCATCAAAAAATGTGGGGTACTATTGGATGGAGGATATTTGGAAGCTTGGGCGAATATAAAACACCGAATATTAAGGGATACCGTTATATGGGAGCTATCCGAATATTTGTGTCAATATTGATATTATTAATTAGAGAGATTTTCTGCTCCATAAGTATTCCTAATATTACATTATAAGCAATTCTGTTGAACATTTCCAATATCAAATATCTTATAAGTAGTAGAAATGTATGTTGGAGGGCATAAAAACAATCCTAAAATTCCGAAAATTAGACATAAACAATATTGCTAGGCAAGACAACGTTTGCCGGGCCCGCTAGTAGAATAATAAAATAAAAATATAAAATTTGTTAAATTGTGGCAGCAATCTTATAGGTTTTAATATCATTTACTAGGTTTTGTTTAGAGCATGTATTTATATTTATAGTAGTTTTGTGTTGAATTTTATTGAAAGAATTTAATCTATATATATAAAAGAGTTGCGTTATAAGCGACTGACTGATCATCAACGCCCAGACGAAACGGCTAAAGCTAGAAACTTGAAATTTGGCATGTAGGTTGGGTTTGGTGGGGAGGCGTGTGATAAGGCAGGGTTTTTGGAAATTCGTACTAAAAGGTACTAAAAACTGCTTTACGGGGGAACGGTTAGAATTAGAACTTTGAAATTTGGCACGTAGCTTTGTCTATGATGAGCGAAGTGGTATTTATGAAAAAAATTGGAATTTAGTACTAAGAGGTACTAAAAAGTATTAAATATTATATTTAAATGGAATCGATAGAGATACATATTGAAACTTTGTATGTAGCTTAAGCTATGAAAACAAGAACGACGTGCACAAATATTTGTTGCAAATTAGTACTAAAATGGTACTAAAAAGTACTATAACTGTATTTCGCCGGAACGGTCGGAAGTAGAACTTTGAAATTTGGTATACAGCTTTGTCAACAATAATCCAAAGGGCATATATGAAGCTTAAGCTGTTACATATAAAATGCTGTACAAAAATATCCTTTGGAAATTAGTATTGAAATTGTACTAAAAATATATTACACCGGAACGGTTGGAAGTAGAACTCTGAAATTTTGAATGCAGCTTTGTCAATGATAGGCGAAGGGGAATCCGTGAACAAATTTTGTACTTAATGTACTAAAAAGTATTATATTACAATGGAACAATTTGGAAATGAATACTAATGTACTAAAAAGTTATGAATATTATATTACAATAGAACCGATAGAGATGGGAATTAGCTTTTACTATTACAAATTAGTACTTAGGAGGTGATAAAAAGTACTGAATAAAAAATACAATGAAACCTTTAGAAATAGAAATCTGAAACGTGGTATGTTGATTTAACTATTACAAATACTTCGCTGTGCATAATTTTTTGAAATTAGTACTAATATGGTACTAAAAACTAAAGGACAACTGAAACATAGTATGTTACTTATTTATTTCACATATAAGTACAAAATTCTGTACCATTGTTAGTACGCAAACTAATAAATGTTAGTATGGAAACTACTAAAAATTTTACATGGGTATTGAGCGATTAGAAGCGGTAAAATAAATAAATAAAAGTATACAAGTACTAAATATTGGGTGCGGTAAAACGGATAAAGATAGAAACTCTTATTAAATACTTATCTGGAACTATAAGATTAAAATGTACTAAAAAGCCCAACATATTGTATACGGCGGTACAGGTGGATATAGAATTTGGTACAAGGATTTTTCTATGAAAAACAATGTAAACAACTAAATATTGTATACGACAGAAGGAGTAGAGGTATAGTCCACAAATTGTGTATGTATATTTAGCAATAACAAATTAAAAAATGTATTTTTTGTTGAAAATTCGTACTAAAAATTACTAAATAGGAAAGTTTAGAGAAAGATATCTGAATTTTAGTATTTATCTTTGACTGTGGCAATTAAAATGTTTTATGAAAATATTTTACTAAAAATTACCGCGAGTTACATAAAATATAGTTTCCAATTTGACATGGATCTATACTACAACGAATGATTATGTATTTTGGCTTAAACTTCCGATGTAGTGAAAAACGGACGAGACTTCATATACAAAAAAGTGAAACTATGCAAACCAGCCGCTAAACACCACAAGTACTAAATTGTTGGCACTTCAAAACAAAAATGTTTTTAAAACTTCTACTTAAAAGTACAGATATTTATTTCCAATGAGTCTTCTAACCACACTGGACTTTCGATGTTATGAATAATTGGCGGGATCTTTATGTCGAGGATATACAAAAAATATCGAAAATTTTTCCAATGGGGATTTTGTAACAAGTAACATACAAAAATTTCCCATAATATGATGCGCTTTGCAGAATATTGTATTAGAAATTCGTACTATAAGGGTACACAAGTACTAAAACGTACTACAAATTTTACCATTAGCATTTAATTACCGAAAGAAGCAAAAAAGTTAAAAAACGTACTATTTGCATTAGTCCATCGGGAGGATCGAGAAAATCATACACTTTCAGAAAAATAAATATAAGAAAGTTGTACTCGATTTATTAGGTTAAGTAGATTTACGCATCAACGTTTCGGTTCGAAAGAAAAGCTGAGTAGGATCTAATATTTTATTCGAAATATTTCAAATTTATATTTAGTCCAAAAGTAAAGCTAAATTAACGCTTATTTATTTTAACTATAAAAAATCCACTAACGACGTAGCGGGCATATGCTAGTTATCCTATATTAAGGGACCCCCCCATTCTCGGGGTCAAAATTTTTTTGATTTAATTCGAATCTACACTAATTCAAGATTGTCCCTACAAAATTTCAAGTGAAAATCTCAAGAACACTTGAAAATATAGTAGATTTATTGTGTCAGCATCAAGTGACGGCTAAAGGGATTCTCAAACTTTAAAAGTGTTTTTCTCTTTTGCGAATGGCGGGCACAATAACTCAAAAACTAATAACCCAATCGATTCCAAATTTTTACACGTTTCTCTGTGAGTGTATAGCTATCGTATGAACTAGGATAAAGCCAATCGTTAAAAACTTGGTTTTTGGTCAAAAATCGGCGATTTTTTAAAAAATATTTTTCAAAGTTCCGCCATTTTGTTAATTTTAGAGCGAAGTCAATAATCCTAGTTCATACAAGAGCCAGACATGTACTCTTTCTAAAACCGTTGGAATTTTCGGATTCCGATGTTCCAGTGAGGAGTTATCATGCCCGCCATCAAAAATAAGGACTTTTCTTTAATTACAAAAAACAATAACAAATTTTTTTGTAAATAATTTTTCTTCTCTTTTAAATCTTCAAATATATATGTGCAAAGTTACAAACCTTAACAAGCATTGGTATTGATTTACCAGCCCATTGAAAATCTTGAAAAATTAAAATCGAGAATGGGTGGGGTTCCCTTAAATAAAGTTTAGATATGTTCTTTAATCATGACGCAAACACTCGGCAATCTGTTCCTTTTAAATGTTAGGCTGGGGAAAAAGAAAACCATTACTTTTTCGGATGTTTGGTGCTTTCTGTTGTGAGTTACAGGTTGTTAAAAATGGAAGTGAACAAAGAGACATTTCGGTACATTTTACAGTTTTTTTGAGAAAGGCGAAAATGCAATCTAAGCGGCTAAAATTGTGAATGTGCATTATGAGCAATTTGGTTTTGTAGATTCCTTTCAGGAATATTTGATGTTACACATAAAATCGGAGAATGATCGAAGTTGACCGGCATGTTAGCAGTCGTAATCTATTAAACCATTTAATAAAAAAATAAACAATTTACAAAAAAAAAAAAAATAAATAAATAATGGATTTTGTTTTTCCCAACCTAATATTTACTCGTTGCTATGATATTGTTTGTTTACGTTGTAACAACATTAACAGGACACGACCGCCTAAACTTGCATTGACATTATTAATTTCGATGAAAAAGTAATCTACAAGTATCTTAATTAAGCTTATACAAAATACAAGTACGGTTCAACAAAAATACACAATGAGTAATTTGGACGATCTATTAGGGAAGAAAAAGCCTGCGGTGTCTGTGTTGGATTTGAGTAGAAATGTTGTGCAGTCTTCTGAGGAGTTCAAACGTTTAATGGAAAAGGTCCCCGAATACAAAATGAGACCTATAAAGGTTCGTGCCGAAGATATAAAAATAAAAGAAAAGGATTACTCTTTCAAATGGAATAAAAAGGAAATGAAGAAGCTTTTAAAAAACAACGGTGAACGTGAACCATTGTATACGTATGCCGATCCAGTACCCAGCGAAATGAAGGACGTAAATATTTCTGAGCTGTGCGTTGTGCCCATCGACTGGAAAATGCTTACCACTTTGAGACCGAAATCCAAAACGGAGGAAGAGTTCTTTTCGCGTATGGTCGAAATGGGAAAACTCCAACTTAAGACAGAACAAAGAGACCGCAGAGAATTTATGCTGAACAATTACGTAAAAAAACTAAAAAATAAATCCGGTATTGTGGAAACGCGACTTCAAACGTGCACAGAATGTGGCGAAGAAATGTGCTCAGGTATATATATATATATTTTTATATATTATAATTTGATGATCACATATTAAATAACGATATCGCATTTTAATTGATCTAGGCAAAGCCTGTACCGAATTCAACTATGACATGTTTGCACGAGTTGAACCAAAATGTCCTAAGACGAAACCAATACCAAATACTGCAAATAAAAGTAAAATTAATGGACGCAAGAAAATCGCTTCGAACGTATCAAAGACAAAATCAAAAAAGCCTAAATAGACATAACAATAAAACAAAAAAATGGGGTTTTAAAATTGTATAAGTTTATTAATAAAGTCAAATTAAATGTGAGGTCACACGACTTCATTATTGTTACACAAAAAAAGCTGTACTCTAAAATAGTTTATTTAGTTCCAGAAATCGGTCTTTAATATTATATTAGAATTACTGTGCAGGAGCCTTTTGTCTTTGCCTTTGAGGAATTAAATAATTGGTAATGAAGGTTACATCACTTTGAAGCTACAAAAGACAAACCTTTAAGGGGACCCCCCATTCTCGGGGTCAAATTTTTTTTGATTTAATTCGATTCTACACTAATTCAAGAATGTATCTACAAAATTTCAAGTGAAAATCTCAAGGACTCTTGAAGATATATCCGATTTATGGTGTCAGCATCAAGCATCAAAGCCAATCGGTGAAGATCTTCCTTATTTTTTAACTTGGGTTTTTGTCAAAAATCGGCGATTTTCCAAAAATATTTTTTCAATGGTCCGCCATTTTGTTAATTTTAGAGCGAAGTCAATAATCCTAGTTCATACGAGAGCCAGACATGTACTCTTTCAAACACCGTTGAAATTTTCGGATTCCTATGTTCCAATGAGGATTTATCATGCCCCCATCAAAAATAAAGACTTTTCTTTAATTACAAAAGACAACAACAAAACAATAACAAAAATTTTTTGTAAATTATTTTCTTCTATCTTCAATTATATATGTGCAAGCATTGGTATTGATTTACCAGCCTATTGAAAATCTTGAAAAATTAAAATCGAGAATGGGTGGGGTTCCCTTAATTCGATTTAAGCATTTTTTTGCTTTGATAAACAAATATGCGAGTGCACCCATACGTGGCACTCTTGAACAAGGCTGGTACAGTTTTGAACGGAATTTTTCTTACAGTTGGACCTAATAACTGTAAGAAAAACCAGTAAGGAAAGTAGTAAAGTCGGATGGGGCCGACTATATGATACCCTTCACCACTTTGGATATATTCAACAGATGAATCCTAACAGACGTCGCATTTTTAAAGGACCAGCAAACTGAAATTGGATCCATAAACATGTCATTCTACAACCTATACTATTTTTTTCATTTGGATTTCAACAATTTCAGGGAATTTAAAAACATCATTCTAGACCTAATTCAAATTTCGTGCAAACCGAAAGATATTAAGGGATTTTGATACACCATTTACCTTAAATTGGACGAAAATATATAAGGCAGCTATGTCTAAATCTGAACCGATTTACACGAAACTTAAAACACATCATTCTAGACTTAATTAAATACGATATGCTAAATTTCGTGCAAATCGAAAGATATATAGGGACTTTGGTGGACCATTTACATTAAATCGAAGGACAATATATATGGGAGGTATATCTAAATCTGAACCGATTTTCAGGAAACTTAACACACATCATTCTATACTTCATTCATTACGCTGTGCCAAATTTCGTGTATTTACATAAAATCGGACGAAACTATATATGGGAGCTATCTGAACCGATTTTCATGAAACTCAGCACACATCATTCTAGGCCTAATTCATTACGCTGTGCCAAATTTCGTCCAAATCAAAAGATATATAGGGACTTTGGTGCACCATTTACATTAAATCGGACGAATATATATATATATATATATATATGGGAGCTATATCTAAATCTTAACCGATTTTTCCCAATTTCAATAGGATTCGTCCTTGGGCCAAATAAGTGACCTATGCCAAATTTCATCCAAATCGGATCATAAATGCGACCTGTACTTTGTTCACAAAAATACATCGACGGACGGACATGCGTAAATCGACTCAGAAAGTGATTCTATGCATATTCTCAAAAGGAACCATGTGTCTATCTCGTTTCCATTTGCCTGTTACAAACATATGCACAAAGACATAATACCCTGTACCACAGTGTGGTGAAGGGTATAAAAATGCAGTTCAAAACCGTACCTAATATATTTTACACATACACACAAAAATCTATTTTTTTATTAAAATAAAATAAAAAATCAGATCAAAAAAATTGTTCATACATTATTTTGAAAATGGTACTTGAAATTTAGAGAAATAGAAACCCAAAGTCGCCACGACGTCTGCTATATCATCAAGGAACCTAGGAAGCTAGGTTTTAACATTGTTTTTATTACAGCATACCATTAGTGGATTTTATTGGTCGTGACTCTCATAGGTGTTTTCTTCCCCATTACCCTTAACATCTATTGAGTTTTCAGATGGGTCATGACACTTAAAAGGGATTTTGAACAGGAATCTATATATTTTGTATGTAGTAAATGGTGCACCAAAGAGTAAAATTTTGGGCCGATTGACACGAAATTGTACACAACGTACTGAAGTTACCAAGTTTTATTGAAATCGGTTCAGATTTAGATATAGACCCCATATGTATTTTCTTCCGATTTTTATTATATGGTGCACCAAAGGGATACAATTAGGCCGATTGACACAAAATTTTGCAAAATTTACTGAAGTTTGTGTAGCCTAAGGTAAATGGTGCAAACATTTTGCACAACGTATCTAAATGGGTATACAAATGTATCTTGCAAGTTTGCTTGAAATCAGTTCAGAATTAGCTACAATATATATTTTGGTCCGTATCTAGGCTTGTCTGATTGACACATAATTTTATACAACGTATCGAAATGAGACAAAAATAACTACAGGTAAGATTTGATGTAAACGGTTCAAATTTATTACAGTCAATTTGATTGTAATATGTGGACAATATGAATTAGTTTTGTGTTCATCTCCAGAAAAAAGTCATAAAAAAGACAAAATAATCACTACATTTTGGAGATCATTAATTTATTTATTTTAGAAAATTCGATTGTTTTAGCACAGATTGTAATTTAGGACATTTTTATTATTAGAATTCTTCACATCCACCTTTATTTTTAATGTTTTTTGTATTCTTTTTGGCCGATTGCATTTTTTCCTGCAATTTTCAAAAATAATTTAATACCATATTATTTGTACTAAATTCCAAATTTGATCTCTATTTTGAAATGATTCCATACCAAACCACAAAAGTTTACTATTCGATTCCAGTCTAATTACTTCCTAGGGTTGTCAAGCATTTTCATTATACTGCCGTGGAAACAATCTGTGACATTTGGGGAATCGTGTACTGGAACCAGCGTTCGAAAATAAACATTATGGTACCGTTCCATAGTGTTCTGTACCGTACCAAGGTGGATAGGTACACTAAAATAACGTACTGTACCGGTAAACAAACACTAAAAATATTTTTAGCGTTACTGTTCCGGAGCACAACGAAAATCTTCCACTGGTCGGAACACTAAAAATGTTAGTGTTTCACTGTTCGGAACACTAAAAATCGTAGTGTTCCACTGGTCGGAACAATACAAATCGTCGCGTTCCACTTACTTGAACTGTACTGGTAGTGTACCATACACGTCTGTTTTGTTTTTTGATGTAAAATGAGATCAAATAATAAAAAAATAAAAATGAATATAACTTTATTTGCAACTACAAAATGTAGGTATTTTGGCCAGATTTTGTGACAAAATTATACAGCTTTGGATAAAATTTTCATTCATTTACAGAAATCACGATTTTTCCCATAAATTAGGAGATCTCCTTGTAAAATGTTAGTATGAAAATTTTTTCTTAAAAAAATTATACCTGCATCTATTATTCATACTTTTAGGAAATTTTATCAAAAATATTCAAAATTTGGTGATTGACACACAATCAAAATAATTATTACCTGCTTATTCATGAAAAGAAGTGTACAAGTTACGTGGATATGAAAAAAGTAGTTTTATGATTTTGGGATAAATATTACAAGACCACATAAAGGTACCATATAAAAACCGAATTTCATATTTCCGATCAGCGCAATCGATTATAACCCAAAATGCAATTCAATGGAATTTTCAGTTATGAGTTGGCCGTCACTAGACGCCCTTTTTTAGTTACAAAATATTTATTATGTTAAACTGTTGATGTTAATATAATATTACCATTTTTTAATAAAATATAAACAAATACAAATACAAAAAGATATTGTATTTATTAAATATATTGAAAAGAAATAAAAATATAAATTTTATTCATACAAAAATAAAAGATAAATACATCATTTTGTTTTCCGACAAATGGAACACTATAATTTTAAGTGTTCCGCCAAGTGGATCGCTACGATTTCTAGTGTTCCGCCAAATGGAACACTACGATTTTTAGTGTTCCGACCGCGGTACGCTACAATTTTTTAGTGTTCCGACCGCGGTACACTACGGTTTTTTAGTGTTCCGACCGCGTTACACTACGATTTTTAATGCTCCGACCGCGGTACACTGCGATTTTTAGTGCTCCGACAGCGGTACACTACGAATTTCGTTGTGCTCCGGAACAGTAACACTAAAATATTTTTTAATGTTTGTGTACCGGAACACTAACGCTAAATTTGTTTTAGTGTTTGTGTTCCTGGTACGGTACACTACGATAGTGTACCGTTTTTTTGCGAACACTGACTGGAACGTTATTCTACAGAAAAATCCATACAAGAAGCATATATCCTTCCTCTTGTATCGTTCAGTATGTTTTTTCCTTTGGTTGATCTTACACTTATGCGGTAATCGTTACTGGAAAAACAAAATATTTTTGTTCCTTTGCTATATAATAATAAATTTCGTATATTTGTTCTGTACGCGTCCGGACTTAGATTTCTAGATCTACTTAAGCTTAACCAATTTAAAGCAAATTTAACACACTTATTTAAATACAATTTGCGTGGGTAGTAGTTGAAATATTTCATAAATCTTTTAAGCAGCTATATCTCACCAATTTAAAGCAAATTTAACACACTTATTTAAATACATATTTACATAAAACTGAACGACAATATATAGAACCGATTTCAACAAAACATTACACACGTCATTGTAACTTCTATGTGGTACGCTGTACGCAGATTTGTACCTATATAGGACAATTTTGACAAAAACGTGTT